TATTTATATATAGACACAATTCAATTATTTATTGTTGAAATAGATGTTTTTGATGTATTTTACAAATTTATTGTCTCAAATAAATGTTAATTTTACAAATTATTTATATTTTAAGGCTCAAAAGGCATGATGAATTAACTCATCTGCATCTTATTCGTGATTCAGATTCATTCTGTACTCTCTTCACATTTTGTTTTATTAGAAAAATATTTTACCATAAGACTTTTTTTAAGCTTATTTCTTACGAACGTACGAAAGTTACAGAGTCACATTTTATAATTTGTTCTTTAAAACATAATAAATAGATTATCCGCATCTTACTATATTATAGTGCGGAATAAAATTTAATTTTGCACTTTTTTTCAAAAAAAATTTTCACAAAAAATTGCTTTGTAGTGTGGGTTGTGACAATTCTTTTGATGATAAATAACCTTATGATTTTTTAAATATTTCTACCGTGTTTCCTATCAACCTTTAATGTATTTTGTAAGAATTTTTAAAAATGTATTTTCTCGCTTTTGACATCACAATTCAAGAACTGCAGAAGTAAGAAATGAATAGGCAGAAGTCTTAAATCTAAATTTTTACACAGATTCTATTTTTATACTAAAATAATATTCTTACTCTCCACTTATTTCTAACACTAAATTATCTTAAAGCATTAATTGCTATATTGAAAATACGATGCTATCTCTATGCTTAGAGATAGCGAATACTAACATTGAGTATGATAACATGTTACATTTCACGATAACAAATGTCACATTCATGTATTATAAAATAGAGAAACTATCTCTGTATTGTAATCTATACGATGTTGTATACACATGTTTAATAAGATTTTCTATAAGAGCAACTTTCCATAGGATAGTTCAGGCAAATACGCTCTACAATCATTAGAACGTTAGTATATTAAAATATATAATCGGAATTATTTTTTTATTATATATATAGACTTTATCTATGTAATAATAAGGAAGATTAAAATTAAAACATAGAAATATTAGTAAAACAAATTTTATTTTATAATATTTATATTATTTAAAAGATGTTTTTGTTAAGTACCTCAGCAAAGACGCCCAATTTGTCCATTAAGGAAATATGCTCTTTTATAAAAAATTAGAAAAAGGATACAAAAAATTGAATCATATAATAAAATCACCTACATAGAAATTAAATTTTATTTTATTTTAATAATACATTTTTGTAATAAAATTAAAATTGTTAATCTTTAATTAAATTAAAGATTAAAAACTAACTTATTTTTAATCTTTTGAAAAAGCATTTATTATTACTATTAAAAAAATAAAGTTTTAATATTTTGTCTTACAATATTTTTTTGGAAAAATATTTTACATTGTTTTTTGTAGAATTTTTTTTTGTTTTTTTCCACATTTGTTGTAAAGAGGAAGATGCATTGATTTATGTAAATTTTAGTTGTGTTGGTTTTATATATTTAAAAGTTATAACAGTTTAATAGTTTATAAAATATTAGATATATTTAGGTAAAATATATATGTACAAATCAACATATGCTATCTAACAAATACTGTCTTTATTAAATACAAAATTGTCAGAAGAAGAAGAAGAAATTGATATTTGTTAAAACTAATATAATAAAAATAATAAAGAGGCTTATTTAAATCAAGTTAGTGGGGCGTATTTATAAATTGAAAGGAAAAATACTTCATCCACTAATTTCAATAATGCACTTTGTATTTGATAAAATTCACGCATACATAAAATATTTTATTTTATTTGTTGTCAATTTTTACTATATAATTCAGAACTTCAAAATATAGAAAGTTAAATGAAATTTATCAATAAATGTTTGCGAAGTGGATGCAACATTGTTTCTCTTAATTTTTTAGATGTGTTGAGATGCGTATACTTAGATATTTGTTTATTTTTGCAGTTTACAAAATAAGAAGTGAGATATATTTTCCACTGAAGTGTATTTGCCTAAATTATCCTGTATAATTATTATTGTCATTGCCTATCTTTACTTTTAATTCTTTCTTTTCTTCTTCTTCCATACTATTTATTAAGAGAACCAAGCATGAATGTTCATATCGCCGAAGAGGCGTTCTTAACATTAAAGAAATAGAGACAGCTTTATATTTGTAACCAATTGGAGAAAAACAATATTAATATAAATTAAACAAAGTGGTAAGAAAAATGATGTGAGCTATGACATGCGGTCGGTGACACGTGTTTTGTGTGGTTGATGATCGCAGGTGGGCCGGCGGCGGCCGCTTCAGGGGGCTACGGGCCCACGGCGGGTACTGGCGGGGCTGCGGGAGGCGGGCCTGGGGGCTCTTGGAGCTCCTGGAACATGCCACAGAATGGGCCTCCTCCTGGGACCCAGCCCCCACCCCAGCCCCCTCAGCCTAACTCCTCGCAGCCCAACTCCAACTCGAACCCCTCTGGCCCGCAGGGTGAGTCTTCAAGCTCAAGTCAAACAAACTTTCCTCTTTCCACCCTTTGGCATCGCAATTAGTTCCATTTTGACCTAATTCTGCGCCTAGCTACAGCAATGTAATTTCTTATACTAGCTTAATTTTATATGTCCAGTCGGGAGAATTAACTCTTTGAGTACGGAGCACTTACAAGCTGAACGTTCTTTATGGATGCACTTGCTGTTCGCGACTGTGATCGGAATATGTATTTTGTTTACAATGAAAATATAAAGGAGACATCGCCGAATACATATACGAGTCCATAGCCAAGCAGATGACTTTCATCAAACACATATTTGAGTCCATAGGCCACGCCAATGATTTTCGTCGAACTTATATATAAATCCGTAGATCACCGATGTTGAATATATATATGGTTTTATTGTACTCAAAGAGTTGATACTTTCACCATATAGAATGTTTCTCTTTTTGTATTTGATGTATGCACTTCCTTCAATTCTCATAACCAATTTTGTTAACTGCGATATTTTCATCTGATAATACATGAATGTTATCAATTTGATTAACAATTTAATAATGGGACAATTTCTAATATTCTGCTTGATGAATTTTTATAACATTATATTTATATTAACATTTTTATAGTTGTAAGATTTTAACAATAATTCTGCTTTTAACAATAATTCTGCTTTTAAAAAGAAAGTAAAAGGTGATGAAATTTAAAATATATACATATAATTGAATGAAATATACTAATTATTTTTGTATAGATTATAAATATATATGTGTAAATCTGAATAAAAAATTGTTTAACACATTGTACTTGAGTTTCTAATAATAATTAATACGTTAAAAATTTGATATGTTTGACATACCTTGTGATAACTATTACAATGAAGATTGAAGGAAGTAAAATAAAATGGTATTGTATTAACATTATTAAACTTAAGAAGACTTGTATTATATTCACAACGAGTGTATAGATCTAAAAAAATCTCATCTTTTTATTTAAATAATTTTATCAAAGAATTCATAAAAAAATATATATGTGTGTATATGTGTATGTATATGTATTTATGTTATATACATTTATATTTTTCCTGCATACATATATATATATATATATATATGTGCGTGCGCGCGTGCGTGCGCGCGCGCGTCGTGTGTGCGTGCGTGTGTGTTTGTGAGTGTGTGCAAGTACAGAAAATAGCATTATATAGATACTAGCTTTTGCTTGAAGTTGAATTGAATGAAAATAATCGAATATAGCTATATACTCGTTGCATATTGCTCATTTTTTGGATTGAAAGTAATGCTTGCTGTACGCTTGACGCACTGCCACTCGCCTAGCTATTCCTATTATTTTATTATTTCATATTTTATTCGCTACACGATGTTCTAGATCACACTTCGATTAGAAAACGATAATTTCTGAATCGTAACGTCAAATTATAGTTCTTTTTATTCAAAAGTCCTCGTCTATCCTAGATATTCCTTTCCTTTGCAAATTTTTTATTGTATTTTGTTAGTCTGTTTTTTTCCGAATACTTTTTACACTTAAATTCTTGAAAAGCATGTACCCTGTCAGTACCCATTTATCGGGTTGTTTAATCATTTCTGATTGGAAGTTATATATACATATATTGCATACTATTATACATAACAGATTTAGAATAGATTCTTGAAAGATATTTTTATCCCAAGTTTTGAGAGCATGTTATAATTTTTTTGTAACTTATAAATAATAAGAATAATCACTTTACAAACATTGAAAGTTAATTAAGAAAATTAATGTTTTATGATAATTTATAATGCAGAATAATATGCTGTACTCTCTCCTTCTGTTTCCTTTTATTGCCTATTTAACTAATGACGAATTGATGTCTTTACTGACAATGAAAAATGTGATCCGTTGTAAAAAAATATATAATAATAATCAGCTTTTTTTTGCGTTTGTAAATTATAAAAATTTAAAAAGAAAATAGAAGTTATACAATTGACATCAATTCGTCTTTAAGATTCTGAGATCAGTATAGCATTTTTTATATCTTTGCTTGTGTGTAATAAATGTATGTCTATTTAGTGCTTTTTATTGTTAATGTACACATTTCATATTTGTCTGTAACTGTAATGAATCTATAATTGATGTCACTTCGTTATTTACATAAACATGAGATATTTGTATATGTGAACTTTTTTATAATTGTTTAAAGTAATTTTTTTAATCTGTAAATGATAATTTTGAGCAAAAATGTACAATGAAATGTGAGATATATTTAAGATATTAAAAAAGCTTGTTCATACATTTATTATTATTGTAGATGATTGTAATAGTTATTTGATTAAATGCATGATTGTACAGCAGTTATCTCGAGTATATGATTTACTACCTTTAGAGTTGTGCTTTTTATAATAACAATTATTTTATAAGTTGCTTGAAATATTTTTGATATAGTTATCATTTAATTATTGTGTAAAAAAAGATATATTTTTTATATAAAGATCTATATTGAAAAGTAAATTAATCGCATTGTACATCAACACAGGAATACTGATCTCATTATCTTGATGATAGAGCTGATTTAAATGTAAATTAATTTTATAATTCTTTAGATACTATAGGTGTGAATTTTTTTTATACGCAGATGTTCATAGAATGGAATTTGTTTGCAGTATTTATGAAAATTATTGAACAATATAATAGTGTCTCGTCAATTTTTATGTTTTAAAAAATGTACAATATATAATATTATATATTTAATAATATTATTATTAATATATAATTAATATATATTTAATAATGTATATTTATATTGTACATATAATATACTTATACATATATGTAATATATTTATAAATGCAATTAAATACAATATTAAAAAAATTTAATATTAGAAGAGAATGATTAAAACTTTCTTAAATAGAAAGCTATTACTGCTATAATATTCTTTTTTCCAATTTATTACACAAGTGATATAAAATAATAGTTTTTATTATATTATCTGAATAGTACCAAAAATCTGTTTTTGTTATATAGCGAAAATATTTGATCATTTTATGTCTTAATATCTCATTATCTTTTTAATATTGAAACATGCAAGAAAAGAAAGAACTTTGTTATATATTCTTAATTACTATTATTTATTATATTATTTTCCATATAGAAATAATAGTTTATGTATATCAGTTTTATTAATTATTTCTTTGATTTGAAATATAACATTTAGATAGTATAAAGTAGAGTGTCGTCTAAATGTATGTCGCAAATTATTAGTTTTAATTTTTTAAGCATATTATGTTTAATTTTACTTTTTTTTTTACATTATTTATAACCCGTTAGAATGAAATGACTTAATATTATGTACAAATGTTGCAGGTGACATGTATTCGCGGCAAAATACCGGTTCAGGTGCGCCAGGATCTAGCAGCAGTTCAGCCAAGACTCCAGATTATACTGGATATTCTGCATACAGTAATTACGCTGATACTTCTTATCCTCAGCGTTCGTATCAAGGAGGAGAAAATAGTCAAGGTGGGTACGCTGCAAGCGCTCCTAAACCCGGCCAGCAAGGCTTCGATTTTAAAGAGTGGCCCACCTCATGACCATTTTAATTGACTCGAGTTGGAGAGATGCGCTGAATAGCTTGGCCTTGCTCGTGGGTTATTTCTTCAAATTCAGGATATAAACTATATATTGATTGTAAAATCTGCGTTATGACATGAGACATTCTTTGTTGATTCACGTTTCTGTATGCATTAAAAGTTTAGGAAAAGATACTTGTTGTTTAAGGAATTTGGCACTATGTAATGTATTTTTGTAGAAGTCACAAATTAGAGTTACAATATTAGTTATACAGTAAAATGCTCGCTAAGATTTGCAGGCAAACGACAGAAAACGGAATGTCTCTTGTTTACGCCGGCATGTTGTTCGCGAGCGGTCGATTAGTACATAGATATCTTTTTTTTTACTATCGAAACACATCTTGTGTTTCAAACAAAAAAGCTTGGCAAACGGAAACATCAAAGAAGGTGTTTAAGACTTTTATCAGATATTGATTTTTTTATTGATCGCTCGCGAGAACGGCATATAATCTTTTCGGATAAAAAATATAAATTAAATAATTAAGTGTTAAATAAAATATACAAATTGACAGTATTAGAATACACACCCATGAGGCAAGTGAAGTTTGTATGGCACTGGGATAGACAAAAGGAAGCGTGATAAGAAATTGTAAAAATACATAATGAGCTAAAAGAGATTCTAAGGAAGAGATTCTAAAATGTGCAAACAAAGTAAAAGCGAGCGTAAAGAATCAGGAATGCTAATCATTTAATCATTAATGGCATTTATTACGGAGGTGAATAAGTTTTCGTTCGAGAAGAAAATTCTTCTTAGGGGAACAAAATTCGATGCTTGTTCACTTCCTAACCGTTAACAAACGGTATATGTAACACAAATGATAAGAACACAAACGAAAGAAATATTTAAACTATGGTCTCTGATGGAAAGTCAGCGCGAATGACTTACACATTCGAGACACTCGTCCCTCCACGATCTTGTATTTATTAAATAGTTATTATACCGGATAATTGAAGAAAAATGAAAAATGATATAACGAGTAATTGATGAGATAATTAAGTAAGACGACACACAGGCTGACTACAGAGAATAGTGTACAATATAGATCATTTAAATATGGTGTATGTATATCTATATAAATCTTTGACAGCAGGATGCGGTTTCTGCAGACATCCTTTTTTACTTTCATGTCATATCACTAGTAGTATCTTAAATACGTATTTCCCTCAGTTCCTTTTTTCTCTTGTACTCTTTCTTGTTTATGAATACTGATTCCTTAAATTAGTTTAGCGACTTTCCATTTCTATTCTTCCAACGATTTGGAAATGATACAAAGCGCGGAAGGGAAGGGATAAGAAGATAAAAACCGACAAACAATCACAAATATTTTTACAAATTGTATTATAAGAACTTAGTGTGTGGCCGTCGGACTGGCTTCTGTTCGACCATACCGTAAAATGCACGTGGAAACTGATTTATTTTTTACCTCCGATTTATAATAACTATTAGGCACATTTAAGACTACGATTATTATTGTTACTATTATAATTAATTATATATTATTATTACTATTATATACATCTATATTATTACTATTAATACTTATGAGTGTTTACTCTTGCTATTGCTACTGCAAGTACTACAACTACACTATTACTATTACACTATTATTACTGTCGACGATAATTATGAAATATGCGATGAAGCTTATAAGTGTTTAAATTTTAGATCAGTAGAACGAGATCATTGATAGATAAGGTGGAGGGAGGGGTATATTGTAATCGTGTGGATATGTCTCGGTGGGGGATATCGACCTGAAAAGTTTACCTGATTAAATATATGACTTAATTGTATTTACTCTGTAGGATTTACCATAGATCTAAACGAGGAATATTTCGGAAGAGTGCTCTCCAAATGCTCATGTTTAATTATCGAGCGGGTCGCGTTGTGTCTTACTTTATCGATGAAGAATGGCGACTATTATGCTAATGTATAATTCACCAAGATAGACCTTATATGACACATAAAGGTGTAATTAATAGATTACGGTTACAGAATCCAGCAATTTCGTTAAGCGTTATAAATGTGATCTCATATAACGTAATTTACTATTGTCCATTTATTTTGTTTTCTTTATTCATCGAATGACAGTGTAAGGCTTTATTGTATCTTAAGTGCAAGATGATCGACTGCTAATTTTATTTTTCTTCGTATTCTTTCCGTTATTCGTTTCGCCGTTCATGTCATTAATGCTTGTTACGTATCCTGACAATAAAGTGTTGAATCGCGTTGCATTAAAGCTGTAGAATAAGCCAATCTTTTCTTTTTTATGATATTTATTAATATATCGATTGATGTGTCGAATTTGAATTTAAAACTTTGCATTTTGTTATAAATCTGATATGGTAACTTTTTATTTGTCTGCGACGAAATATATCGCAGAGAAAAAGTCAGTATATAAATCCACGATAATTAGATGAAAAGAAACGAGTGCAGTGTTAACAAACGTGACTCGTGTGAATTTCTGGGATCAACGCAATAACACACTTGAACACATAACGAAACAAAAATGCGACTAGAGAGCTCAATCAAACAACCAATTTTACACCCTAATTATTATAGTAACACAAAGAAAAAAAAACACATACAGATAAACTTATACACTCATGAATACATATTCACACACACTTTTACCTCTAAAAATGCACATAAAAGAAGTGAACTAATTAACCCTTTAGGTGCGGCTGTTTTAAAATTCTGAATAAAAGCAAAATTAAAATGTATTATAATTATAATATAAATTTACATAAATTATATAAAAATTTACTATATTTTAATTTGTATATTCAAAATAAAATTCTAATATATACAATATAACGATGTCATAAATTTTAGTAAGAAGAAAAAGCTTTTACTCAAATTTTTTTTGCTTATTTTATTCAATTTAGGTTAAGAATTTTGTAATAAAAGTAAATTCTAATTTTTAATGTTAGTTTTTGATCGTGGAAATATGTATACACGGTTTGCAACTAAAGAATTAAATAGTTAACATATTATCGAACATTCAAGCGATAAATTCATAAGAGAAAAATATATAGATGAAAAAGTGATGAAAAAAGCACTATGGTTGTTCTAAATAAATAACACGTTATTTAATATCTAACTTGCAAAGCAGGGAGCGGCAAATAATAGCGACGTGTTTTATCTACGGCTGTTTTTTACAACTTATTTTATAGAATAAATACCGATAAATAACGATGCGGAATAAGACCCATTAGTATATCAATTATAATTATTACTACTAATATTATATTCCTTACTCTTATCGATTTTTAACTAAAGTTAAAGCGTGAATTTAAAAATCTTAAGTGTATGCGAGGTGTTAAAGAAAAGCGGTTATTACATTTCATTTGTACAGGACACGTAAATATAATCGATGCGTTGTTGACGATTGGTATAAACGAGCTAATTAATTTATTATATTAACGAGTCTCAAATGGATAAAAATAAATTTAAATACTAGCGCGGAGACGGGGGAGGGGAAAAAAGAAAGGGTTACAAAGAGTTAATGGCTGCCTTTGCCACAACTGTATGTATATACATATATTTTAGATTATGACGGTGGTATAGTTGGGAGAAGCTATGTACGAACGGAAACGCAATTTTAAAACATAAAACGAAGGCAGGATGTGGAGGTTTTAGAGCGGGGCTATTCGAATAATTGATTACTAATTATAACAGATAATATATTTATATTCAACGCAATATTATTAGTATTTTTAAATACAGAGATGACGCATCTAATTAATGTAATAGGTAGTATATAGGAAAACTATACTTTGATTCTAGCCGTTGTTACTACCTGCCTCATTCGCAGTTTTCGCGAACTGTACGGCTTGCTCTCAGGGTTGTTGTTGTTCTCTTTTTTTATTACTGTTTCTTTGAGCTCTTTTTTTCCTCCCTGTCTTATGTTCTATCTACACTTACTGCTCTGAATCGCTCGTATTTATTTTGTTTTAAAGTAGGGGTACACTACATGCTGAGTAGGGGAAATCCCCTCTCCCCTCCCCTCATAGGGAGGTTCTAACTTCAGTAAACTTCTTTATTATTATACTTTTGATAATCCGTCATCTTTATTTAAGTAGATTGAGACACTTCTCATTTCTATTTTACGAGACATTAAACTCTGAAAAAGATCTTTATATTCGATATCTGTTGAAGACCATTAGGTTTCTTATTCTATATTATGATAATCATAACTTTAAGAAACGGAAAGAGCAAACTGACGATAAGTTTTGTCGTATTAAGATAATTATGATAGACAGACAAGATATATAAATGTAATCTTCATTATTTGCAATTCACGATTCGTAGAAATATTGTTCGCTAGTAAATCTTCCATATTATTGCGATTTGTTTGGCGAACAATGGTAGCCAAAAGATTATAATATTAATGTTTATTTATTATTATAATTTTTGCAACAAAAGTTATATCAAACTTAAAAATTTAAAAAAATTCGATAAAAAATTCTCATTCTTTTTTTCAACATCAATCAATCAATTCAAAGTAAATTGAACTTAAAAAAAGACTAAAGCTTCGATATTTCGTATATATTTTACAGGGTATCTAACTTGCACATTTTGAAAAATTTATAAATGTAAGTTTTGTATGAAAAAAAATTGTTATATATAATAGAGTTATATAGTAGTATATAGTAAATTTTTTTGAAAGTCAGCTTTGTTTTTAAAATAGGATGTTATATTTTTTTGATCATTGTTAGAAAGTATGTTTAAATTTGCGTACAAATGTATTATTAATTGGCCTAAACCTAATAAATAACGAGACATTCAAGTAAATAAAAATTAATAAAGAGTTGGAAATAGATGTTTTAGGTGAATGTAGTAACATGAATAAGCCAGCGATATTTATGTAATAATAATATTTATCAACA